CTTGGGTTCACGGTAAGATCCTTTAAAGGTTCCGAGTTTTTTTTTATTCGTTTTTTGAAACTTTCAACACATTTGCAAACTTTTTGTCATCTACCGAACCTTTTTTTGAGGTTCCAGAAAGTACCGTTTTTTTTACAGTATACTGTAGAGACCCCGTTTTGACCACTTTTACGGTTCGTTTTCGGTCTAAAAACGAGACCGTTTTGATAGACCTGGGGTGGTAAACTGATAAAACTTTTAGTTCATTTTTGATGTCAGGAGAAAATCAACATCAATCTTAAAATATATATTTGTCTTAAGGCTGCACAATATATTTATTTCGTAATTGTTTATAAGATTAATTTATTGTATAAATATTAAGTAAAAAAAACATGTCCTTATTTTTTTTAATGTGGCTTATAAGCACAACCAAGAAAATTTGGTTGATTATAATAAAAATCAATTGTTTTATCTGTGCACGCTCCTCCTCCAGTTGGACCCACATGTGGACAATGTACAGATGGTAATAGAGGAACAAAATATGTATGAACAGCGCGGCAAGTAACACTTCCTTGATCTCCTCTATCAAATGTACCATAAGGAACGTTTGCCTTTAAATATTGTTTACAATCATCAATACTTGAATATTGTTGTAATGTTCCATTACAAAATTGTTGTGCAATAGTACACACGACATTTATTCTGAATTGACGTTCTGCCTCTGTCAATGCATCTAATGTTAATCCAGGATTTCGTATTTGTCCATCATAGCCACATAATTTAAAATTTTTATCAAAAGCCATACTTACAAAAAAAGTTAATCGTTTACCACCAGTTAACTTAGCTATGAATTCACTTCGAGTAATGAAATATTCTTTGTCATACGCAATATGTACTAAATCAGTTCCTTGAATGACAACTGGTCGTGGTAGTGAATTTTGTATTGGACAAAGGATTCCATATAGATATTCTAAAGCTAAAACTGTATCTGTAAATGTTCCAACTGGTATGACACGTCCAGATAAACCTTTTGAAGATATATATTGAGATTGTATATTATTTGTATTAAATAAAATTTGCTGACAAACTGGAAATAGTAATGATCCTAATGTTCGTTGTGTGGCATCGTATAATTTCTTATAAATGTTTTTCTTATTGTTGCGAAGATCATGACAATTTTGACATTGAAAGAAATTTATAATTATAAATTGAATTAAAAGTAATTGACAAAATGATAATTTCATTTTGATTCTTTTTGTAAAATGTTGAAAAAATTTTTCAATAAGAATATCTGAAATAACAATAGAAACATGTTGTTTAAGGGAAAATAAGTAAATAAGAATAAAAGAAAACACTCTTAATAATCATGTCGCATTATCAAGTTTTTCTAATACTCCATATTCATTCACATCAGTAACAAAATATGATTATGATACGAACGATTTTGTTTAATATATACTCAACGGTAGACCCCCTACACTTGAGCTATTCTCTCTGCTTGAATAAACACATTTAATTCATTAATCATCTTTTTACTCATATTTTTTTCTGATTAACATCAGCAATAATGTCAGTAATTATATGTCCACGGATGAAGCTGAAGAAAATTATACAATATCATTGGTTGTTTGTGTTTTTATGCGTACTTAAATGTGCAGGCGGCATTGATATACTTCGATAACGTAGGATAAACAAAAAAAAAACAACAAAATACGATCATACTCATTCATATTAATAAAATCAAAATATCCTCAAGAAATGAGAAAAAAAGCAAGAAAAGCTAAAATTTTCTGCTACAGGCGATCGACACATTATCTCCATCAAGACTATCACTCAAGCATGTTGCTATCAGATGAAAGATAACTTTAATAGAATTATTTTCAAAGATGTGGAAAAGATGAGTGCTGAAAATAATCTTTTTTTTTATATTTTCGACAAAAAAAAACAAGTTAATACATAAGCTCAGGAATATCTACATTATCGAGTCATTTTTGACCTGATAAGAGATTTTTTTATTATTTTATGATAGAGCAAATAATCTTGAATATTAATCATTTTAGTTAGATATTCGTATTATATTATATGGTTGTATAACCTTAATAAAATTTTTCTTATGGATTAGTATGTCAAACTATTTATACATATATATATTTTAACCTATAGCTCGTTCCATTCATCATAAGATGTCTTTGATATTGATGTATGCAATATTCTCGTTATCGACTTTTCTGATAGTACAAGAAAATTTTTTTGTATAAAGTCGAAAATTTCTGAACATATATAGATCTTGTTTTTGGTTAATAACGATTGATTTTGTTTAGAGCATAATGTACTTTCATTCATATATTTAATTGTAATGAGATCTCAAATATTATTTGTTTCATACAAAAAAAAAACATATATATATATATATGTATGTATAAGAAACAGGAATCATTTTCGACTAACTAGTCGATAATAATAGATTTTGAGAGAAAAATATGTAATTACTTTAGCAGGAAAAATTAACTATGTGTAAAGTTTAGTACAAAAACATTACTTCTGATGCTTCTGTTTGAACGATTCGAAAAAGACACACCAAAATCGACTAAAACTCGATATTTTTTTTTCAAAACATGTGAAAATTTCATGTATCTGTCTACTATGGTTGTTGTTTCCCAAATATTTTCTTTTCTTTTTAAACAAAAGCAGATCAAAACAAAAAAAACTGAAATTTTGGTCTACAAACACTTATTCAGACCTAATCAAAACACATTTATTTATTTTTTTATGATCAATTCGTTTTGATTTGAAGTTTTATTTACAGAAAATTGATAATGAACTCTGAGAAAAAAACCCAACTGAGAATAGGACATTTTTTCATATGAAGAATCGTTGATCAACGCCACCTTCATGAAATAAAATGATAGGTAGATAATTACTTATAAGAATGATAATTTGGAGAGACAGTCAAGTATACAGTCTACCAGCAACAGTTAAGATTCAGCCGTCTTAGTTATCCACTCAAAAATATGCTGATTTTCGAGCATATGATATGAAAAATTCCGTATCTTAAAAATAATTCAATGAAGTCAGAAACACACAATCTTCAAATATTTGTAAATTAAACATTTTAATGCAAAAGCATGTGTCTAGTTCTAACAATAGGTAGTTTATTCATGCGAGACACACTTTTAATCTTTTCATTGGTTATAGTCTAAAACTATCATAGAATGAAAAGCGATTATCTATATGTCAATAAAGATGCAAATCATATCAATCAAAAGCATAAGCATAGCATTTTGACGTATATCAAATAAGAAAAAAAAGCACTTTATAATGCGGCACGTTATTTTTCATGTGCATGGGTTATTTTTGATATCAAATGTCAAAATAATGTTGATTTATTTTGTGATTTTAATACCGATTTGATATATTTTGGACATTTTTTTCTCTTGGTTGATAAAAAGAAACGCCGCTATCAGATATGTGTATAATAATTTGAAACAAAAGTATAAAATTAACTCATCAAACAAGATTGAATAACTAGAATAAAACAGATTACTTTTTAGTATCGATATTAAAAACGAATCATCATACTGCTACATATAATGAGCAACCTATATTTATTCCCGAAAAAAAATGTGATAATATTACTTCGACTCACTGATTATTTTACCATACTTTTCACTAAAGAATAGACGTACATTAATAGAATGAAACACTTATTTCTCTAATGATGATACTGTTGTCATTGAAATGTAATTTAAATTACTGTTCTTTTTTCAGTATTTAGCTAATTTTAATCCCAAAAATAAATTATGAGTCCAAACTAGAATGATATTCTGAATTAGTATGAAATAAATGTGGAAACCTCGGATTTAAATCCGAGAGTTATGTGTACTTCAAAAAGTGAATTAGACAGATGAGTCATCCTAGAATGTGTGGGCATCAAAATTATCCTGGCAAATCTTTCCTA